TTTGCCTCTCTCCCTATTTCTGCTGGCAAAATCGAATCTTTTCTTTTTCAAGTACCATGAAGAGATCAGAATAGTGTGTATTACCATGCATGGCAAGAGAGAGTGTATATGTATGTATGTATGTGTGTGTGTATATATATGTATATATATATATATATGTAAATGTTTATTTCTTTGAAACAACCCATGCTGACATGACAGAATGTTGTTGGTGAGGTGCCATTGAGTCATAACCTCACATGTGGAAAGTGAAGAGGCTCTGAAGCACTTACTGAAGTAATTCAAAGGCCACAACCTTCAGTAGGGATCAATTACATCTCAACATCAAGAAACAAAATTCATCACAACTGGACCAATAGACAACATCATGGCAAATGGAGAAAAGACATCACTGACTCAATTTTATTTGGATCTGCAATAAACAGTCATGGAAGCAGTAGTAAAGAAATCAGAAAATATATTGCTTTGGACATATTAATACACTGTCAAGAACTCCTTTAAAATTCTAAAGAGAAATGATGCCAGTTTAAAGACTAAAAAGTGTGCCTGACTTGAGCCAAGGTACTTTCAGTGTCTTCAGAGGCATGTGAACACTGGACCAAGAATGTAAGCTGGATCTGCTGTACACAGGGTCACTCTGAGTTGATGTCAACTCGATGACACCTACAACAGCATGAATAAAATAAAAGGACTTGAGCCATTTTTAAATGACTATTTAGTGGAACACTAGTCATCAGCTTTCCATACCAAGAGAGGAACTGTCTTTGGTCACACAATATACAGACTAACAAATTAACCCATCATCTAGGAGTTGATTCTGACTCACAGGAATCTAAACAGTCTTGCTGTAATTAAATCTATTTTATGTAGTTTCACAAAGTCATTTGATACAAACACTTTTCTTCCATGTAGCACTTAAAAGAAGCAGTGTTCGGTGGAACCTACAGGAAATACTTATGTAACTAAGGAATTTAAAACAATTAAAAAACTGTATACATCATATAGATTAAAAGGACCTTTCCAATACTAATGGGAAGATTATAGCGTTTAAGTCAGAGGAAACGTAATTCTCTAATATAGAAACTTTAAAGATCATACTTTAGAGCACAGAGATGGGAGGAAGTAAAAGTTTAATGGGTATGACTCAAAATTTAGAAGTATGGCCAAAAGCTCTACTTACAGGCAAGCAAGTATATTCTCAAGTATCCAAACAAAATCTGTACTACCTAAAAAATGTTTTTATTGCATCTAAATGTGTGTGTACATGTGAGAAAACGATATCTAAAATTATACAATGTAAATGAATGACACCAATAAACTGATAAGTCAGGAACATAATGAACGGATAGATAAATTTAAGAGTATGTGTTTCTTCTCACTTAAATAAAATTCTGTGACACTGGTATTTAACTGAAGATTTAATGTAATGATATCCAAACAACATTTTCATTTCCAAAATCATTTTTAAGATAATATTACTCCATTACTGGAAGCCTTTTATCTCAAGCTAAAACTCCTATCAAGTCATAATTCTTAGAGCAGAATGGCATTTTCACAGGTTTAAAACTGATTTTTTAAGCATTGCTCATCTATGATTATGTGAGACCAAACAACTCACTTAACTTTGAGAGCCAGATCATTTACCCATTTTACCTCCCCCCAAAAAAACCTCAACCAACCCACTCCATTTCAATATGTGATGAAAGTCAAAGAAATCACATGTTAGTGACAGAATTAGAATATATAAAGTGATACTGTTGTGTACCATCAAGTCTGAACCGACCTATAGCTGACCATCCAGCAAGTTTTCAGAGGCAGTTAATCAAATGGAAGGAGGAGGCTGCCCATCTTTCTCCCATGGAGCAGCAGGTGGACTTGAACCTAGGGCCTTGGGGAATGCAGCGTAACTTTTTGCCACTAGGCCAGCAGAGTTCCCTTGAGGTGATAATAGTAGGGATTTACTGAATGTTGGTTAAGTAACATTCTATTTCTATTCCTTTACTTCCCAGAGACAGAGGATTTTCTGAAAGGGCGCTCTGGTAGAGCAATGGGAGAGCTCTGATGGCCTAGTGGTAAGGAGTTGCGCTGTCAACCTAAAGGAAGGTGGTTCAAATCTACTGCTTCAAAAGGGGGAAAAAGGGCAACCAACTCCTGTGTAAATTAGTCTCTGAAAACTTCATGAGTCAGTTCCAACTCAATAGTACATAACAACAGCAAGTAGCCTAGTGGGTAGGGAGTTGTGCGGTGGCTCAAAGGTGGTGTTTCCCTGGTGGTTCAAATTCACCAGCTGCTCCAAAGGGCACTCCCATACAATTTACAGTCTCTGAAAAATGCACTGAAAGGTCAGCTATGAGTTAGTTGGTTCCAACTTGACAATAATGAGGGGTGGTTATTTTGGGTTTTTCCCCATTTCCCCTTTTTGACAATAAGAAATAAAAGTTATTAATGTTGAATAAATGACAAAAACTGGGTAGTAAACACACAGCTTCTATAAAAAATTGTGAAAAAAAGAGAATCTATTGATTAATCCCCACATCCTAAAAACACTGGTAAAGAACAAGAAGCAAACTAAATTGAGAAAGGGAAGAAAGCACGTCATGATTGGTAAAGATGGAGCAAGTAAGTGCAAGGCAGTGCGTAGCTTCCTAACAACCTAAACACAGAGGGAAAGGAAAACCACAGATCTTCATATCATACTGTCAAAGAAACTTTTTTCTAGCCTTTACCAGCAAGATTCTAGTATGAACTATGCTAAAATCACATATTCAATAGTCCAATTTTTTAAAAAAGAGAAGTTTTACAAATATATCTGATCAAGTGATAAAACTACAGAAACACAGTCACTAAGTCTTACTGACAAATGTGTTTTTATAGAGAAATAGACCTTTAAAATGTCTGTACCCACAATATCCTCTGTCCCAAAGACCACTCACTTACATATAAAAAAGATACGCAGGGATTATTTTTCACATATCTACCCAGAAAACATTATCAGTAAACCTAGCCATGTCCTATCTTGGTATTCTCGAGATTATATTCCTAGAACTTATCTAGTTCATGTCTACTTTTCAAACTGTACTGAGAGAAGATTGCAAATTGTTTTGATCACAGCAGAAATGTTATTTCCTTGAAATAGCAAACTGGAAGAAGGGGTAGTGAAAATTTGCCATTTTAGATTACTTATCTACCTTGAAGATGGTCTCAAATAACAGGCTGGTGTATGTTTCTATGGCAGCACTTCCTCTCCCTGGGTCTGTTCATGAACTATCAGTAACAAGGAACAAAACTGTACTCAGAAATCTGTATTTTGGAGTCTAACAAAAAGATGTCTATTTGTAATAGATACTAATTAAAAAACCTTGCCTCTTTAGTACTGGACTTAGATGACACAACACAAATAATAAGAGTTTTGGAAATTAAGTATTGTTTTAAACTACATTTGCCTAATAACAGATAAAACTATTTTTTCTTCTAAATTTTAATTATTTTGTTGTTGTAGAGAACACACACAATTAAAAACAAGGGTGGGAGGGAGAACAAGAGAGCAAACAGAACACAACACATCCACTCCTAATGTATTCACATTGTTAGGCTTCAGAGACAAGGTTGTTCTAGGGGGTTGGCCTAATGCAGCACCAAACTGGTGCCAGGCCCGCTACCTGCCTGTCAAGTGTCCCTGGAGTGTCCTGGACATGTGTGCTGCAGCAGGACCCTTTCCTCACCACAAAGGAGCCAGAAAGGCTGGAAGAGGTGTGGGCTGATTACTGCCTGGTAGCCACCCTAGGAAAGGCTGCTCCTCCTCTTCTGTCTCCTGCAGCCCTACACTGTCCCTATTCTCTCTCCTCCTCCATCCACTGAGTTCCCTGGCACCTCTGCATCCTCACAAAGCCTCCCTTTGCCACCTGTGACCGCAAGTCATCTTGCTGCCACCCTGTGCCCTCTGTGGCTGAACTGTTATGTCTCAGACAAACAAATGGGAGATGGAGTCCTGTGGCCAGATAACTATTGTTCCTCATATGGCCTGGTCCTCAAAAGGGCCGCTGATACACATCCAGGGTGGCCCATGAAGGGTTCCCCAGTGCAGCCATGGCCCCATGTGGGGCCTGGACTAAAGAAAGCACAACTACTGAGAATTTTTGCAAAGCTGTCATAAAGCAAACTCTTGAATAGCAGGATATTCAATAAGTGAGGAGTAGGGGTAACAAAATGACAGATGTAAGCCCAATACTATCAATTATATTAAATAGGGGATACTCCAATTATATATCAGAATGAGTAAATAATAATATATTGAAAAGCCTTAAGAATATTACAGAAACATTACTCAAAATGGGTGACCCTGGAGGACATTATGCTGAGTGAAGTATCCCAGTCACAAAAGGACAAATACGTCATGGTGTCCCTGTTGTAAAACAGGACTGACCTTGGGGTTGGGAGGAGACTGAGAAGGATGGGTGCAATACTGTATACTGCACTGAAACAGATGAGGGACAAAACTGTTTAAGAGGTAAAAATTACTAGGTATTTTTGTCATGACAGGAGTCCAGAGCGAAGGCTGTATAGTGGAGTAGACCTGGGGGAGGGACTGTAAAACAATGAAAGAATTTTTCTTTTAATTTTCCAAGAGGGTAGTGTACTAGTGGGGAGGACTGGGAGGGGCGAAAAGTGCAACAATGAATGAATGAAAATTCAAAGTCTCTGTAAATTTTCATTGAAATTAATAATAAATTTTTAAAAAAGATTACAGAAATGAAGAATAGAAATTTGGAACATTGAAAAGACTAATTTATGAACCTACAGCAGACAACATAATTCTGTTTGATTTATGGCAACACTTAAGAAACTTGGAAACATGAAATGAAACCAAATTAGAATAGAATTAAGCTCAAAATGCAGTAATCAAACTTGAGTTAACATCTTTAATTTCCCCATATTTTCAGATCTCCAGAGCTATATGCACCCCACCTCACCAAAACACAGCAACACTCAAAACCACTGACCTTGCCATGGCTTCTTTCCACTTTCTGAAAACATTTATTCAGGGACAGATTATGGCGAACAGAATTCTTCCAGCCGGTTGGCGCAGTAGCAAAATACGGGAACCGGTCCAAAATCCAGCTATAAATTTCCTTGACAGGCAAGCATTTACTTGGAGAGTGTTCAATCGCCATATAAATGAGAAGACTAAAGGAGTAAGGGGGCTTTGAAGTTGCTGATTTCTTTTCTGGGTCCTGGTAGCAAGCCGGCCCGAAAGATGGCCCATCGTCTCCCTCTATGTCATACAGTGGACTGACAATGGGCAGACCCTCACTGCCGAGGCTGAAGTTGGTGAGCAGATTAGTACTTTCGTGGAGCCAGTTCAAGTTTGTGAGTTCATCATCTGCTGACTCACTGTCCACCAGAGTGGCCTTTGGCCTGGCAGCATCAACAGCTTCGGGCAGGCTTCCCATTTTGTAAATCTGGCTTAATCCTGCGACCTTTTCAGCTCCCGGGGTTTCAGCTCTCTTGTCTGGAGTCATTCCAATTATTGGACCCATTTACTCCTAGGATGCTGCAACAAAGGAAACAACTATCAGTCAATTTACTCCTTAAAGCTCTTGACCAATAGCTAAGGACTTGTATCCCCTCCAATAGTTCCTCAGACGCCCACCCCCATGTCTGAGAGCCAGATCTGGGCCAATAAGTGATTCAACTTAAAAAATAAATAAAGAAAGATTCTTGACCTATAGGGAAAAGAAAATATATACTGAAATATCCCCAAATCAGAGCGATTATGTAATCAATTGTCCTACATAATACTTAACATACAATATTTTTATAATAAAAACACTGTTAGGGAGTTCTGATGGCTTAGTGGTAAGAAATGTTTTGCAAGACTAAAGGCTTATGGTTTGAATTCACCAGTAGCTACAAGAGAGAAAGATGGGCAATCTTCTCCTGTGCAATTTATAGTCCCTGAAGACCCATGACAGGATCAGTTATGAGTTGTTTCTAACTCAATGGTATGTAACAACAACCATAATACAATAGAACTTATTTTGTATTCTTTAAATTTATTATAAATAACCTGCCTTATTATAGCCCTAAATAAATGGATGATATGAATAAAATTAATTAGTGTATTTTGTATATTTAGTAAAGAATCTAGCTTACCAAACCAAAACCACTATCTTTGATGTTGATTCTGATTCAAAGAGACCCTCAAGTATCCTCCTGGAATTCTCAAGGCTCCATCTCTTTACAGAGCAAAGGGCCTCATCTTTCTCCTCCAGAGGTTGGTAGGGTCAAATGGGTGACCTTTCCATGAACAATCTAGAGATGGTGCAGCCACTATACTTCCAGAATTCTTATCTAGTCACAGTAATCACTCTGCTACTACTGAAAAATGCATTATTTTTTTGGACTATCAAGTTTTATATTCTCAATGAATTCTGAGTTGACAGTACATAACATCATCTATGATTTTACTACTATAGTTAAATGTATAGCTCAATGCTAATAAACTAAATTTGAAACAATTTCAAACAATAATTGCAAATAAAATTCTCCTCAAATCTGAAATATTTACACAAAAGACCAATTATTTCTAACTTTAATATAATTAACTGTAGTGTGTTAGGAATTGCGAGGATGGTGTAGGATAGAGCAGGGTTCAGGTCTTTTGTTCACAGGGTCGACAACAACAATACTAAAAAACCTTACTACATTTCTTTTTTCCATAAATATACTGATTACTACATTCAATTGCTATAAATTTCTTACTTCTTTTGTATATTCAAGTATTCTCAACTCTCCATTCTAAGTAGCATCTCGGGAAATACTAGCATAGGAAGAGTAGCATTTTAAGTATTTTAAGTAGTATCTTAGTAAGATTTGAACTATGAATGTATTTTCAAGAAGATAAACAAATTCTAAATCATCCTTTTTATTCTAACTCTAACTAATTACTTTTGCTTTGCTTTTTAAACATATTTCAATTAAAAAACTGTCATGAGAAAAACTAACCAGAGAGTAAATGATAGAACTAGTGCTATTTAATTCCTTTTTAAAGGTTCATTGACATACTTCATTTTTTAATTCAATGGCAAACCTTCTAAGTTTCCATTGTCCTATTCAATCTACCTAATGCTTAAATAACTGAAAAAAAGGTAGATCATCTCTAGTTATTTTACTTAGAGCATAGATGGTAAGCTAATATTCTACTAGATATAATCTCAAAATATTTAATTTTCAATAGCACTGGCTAATATTTTGGAGGTCACTAACTGTTCTAAACAATTGGTAAATTAGAATTAAATCAAGCATCAATTTAACCCCATAAACTAACCATTATCATCAACCTAATTTTACAGAAGAGGAAAATAACTTCTAGAGACTAAGCAGTTTTCTTCAGTTACTTGGCTAGTAAATAGAAAAGCTAAAATTAAAACTCAAGCAAACTGACTTCAGAACCCAAAGTAGCCACTACTATACCCAGGTTAACAGCGTATGCACTTCACCTACATGTAAGGAACACAAGACTAATCTGTTTAAAATGTTACTGTTGGCAAGAAACTGCACTGCAATCCCAGAGGTGAGTGGTTCAAATCCACCAGATGCTCTGCTGGAGAAGGAGGAACAATCTCCTCCTGTACCAGTCAGATCTGATTTGACAGTACACACACACAATCAAAATAAAATAAAAAAAAAAAACAACAACACTAAAATGTTACTGTTCTCTCCCTACCCAGTCCCTATCCCTGTTACCTACCTACACATCTGTAAGACTGTACAGGAAGTTCTCATCAGAAAATAAGAGAAGTAACAGACATCCAAAGTGAACATGTAGTAAAACTACCACTCAATACAGAAGACATGATTCTACATATAGAAAACCTCAAAGATGTCATAAACACGTTTTACAAAATGCAAGGAACAAGTCCATACACAAAGTTGTGTTTGTCATGAAGTGCATCGGAACAGCCAGCAAAGCTTGGCTTCCATACACTGTGATCCTGGTGAGCACCTCTGCAGGTCCAGAACCATAGAATTACCAGATAGTCACCACAGCCAAAAATGCTGACAGTTAAAAAATGACTGTCATCAAACTGAGTACTAATTTGGTGACTTCAATTTGTCAAAGAACAAATTTTTAAATAGATCAAATGCAAAATAGGCTAGGTACCTCTGGAGATAATGATAAAATTCAAGGGGTTAAAGCATCAAACAGACTTTGATGTAAAGCTAGAAGCACCAGGAGAATCAAAGGTATTGGAAACAAGGCTAAAATGACAATCAGATTTCCAAAGCAAATTCCTCCCTAAAGTGACCAGTATGTTTTAAAAACCCAATATGCTTCTATCAGAAGTTTCCCAACAGATGCAACCCTTGATGAGGTAAAAGAATAGTTAAAGGACAAAGGTCAAGTATGAAATATTAAGAGGAGAAAAACACTACATAAAGTCACTCTACGAAATCTGTATTTCCTGACAACACCAAATCTGGTAAGTTTGTAGAAATTCCTGGCCAGAAGAAATACAGGTACCTCCTATATGGAATTGTTGTAAACACTCTTAAAAAATGGCTAATTCTAAGCCAAATGAAATCAGAGCTAAACTAGGTGAGATGGTTATCTCTGTTTTCCATTAACTACCATAAAGGGTATTCTTATGGTATGGGGAGCCTTTGTCATAGGGTTTGATTATTACCCAGCTAGGATGAGCCTGAAGGCATGTACTCTAGCTGGATGACCACCCTCTCTGCTGGCCCCTGTGGAATCCAGATGGCCACCTCTGGATAGAGGCAGTGCTGTTGTTCTGTGAACACTTAAACTGAGGGACTTATCCTCCTGGGTTTGAACTCAAGCACTTGCTAGTACTTTTCAAGGAAGATTACTTTCCAAAAAAGAATGACGAAGAAAAGTATAATTAAGTAGATGCTAAATATGAGCTAAACAAGAGCTGGAAGGAAAACAAATTAGTAGAAGCAGCTGAATACAAACATCTAGGGGGGGAAAAGGGCCGTTTCTTGAGATCTGTTTTCAGGTGTGGGAGATGGTAACACTTGTGGGGGAAAAATCTCTCCACTCTTCTCTCAAGTCATGAAGAAAGAACATAGATAAGACTTTGTTGGGGAAATAAAAGAAAAAGCTAAAGATGTATGAGAAGCCAAAGACGCAAATAAGGGTGACCCACAACTAAGGAACACAGGGAGTGTCAAGAGGAACGGTGGGGAAAGCAGCAATCAAAAGATAACAGAAGATCAAGAATCCTTAAACAAATGGAAGTCAAAACATTAAAAATTAAATGAAAGGGAAATAAAGTTGTCAAGGCCATGGTGCAGGGGGAGGGGAGTAGTAAGAAGTACGTACAGCTTGACGGCAGCAAAACAAAATTGCTAGTAATGGTGTGATTAAAACGATCCAGTAAAAAAAGGAAGGCATGAAAAGCAGAGACATGGATTAATATCAAACCCACCACCACTGAGTTGATTCAGACTCACTGTAGGCCCCAACTAGGTTTCTAAGGCTATAAATCATTATAGGAAAAGACTATCAGATTGTCTATCAAAGAGCAGCTAGTGGATTTGAACCACTAACCCTTTAGGTTAGCTAGCACCATAAACCACTACACCACCAAATTAAAAAAAAAAATGGTGTAAGACACCAGTAAACTACCCTAAAATTTGTTTTAAACTACATTTGCTTTTGGAGATTTTTTAGGTCTACTTCTATGACCACTTACAAGGAAAATTACATGTTGCCTTTTTCTGTTGTTATCCAGTAAGGTCTATTGAATGGTGGTTTGTTTTTGTTGGGTTTTTTTAAAATATAAACTTCTTGTATCAGATAATTTAAATATCAAAAGAGGCTGTCATATAAAATTACTTCTTAGAGTATTTATTAGTATGAACTTTAACAAAATATATGCTCAAAAACAAAAAGGGAGCTCTGGGAGCCTAGAGAGTAAAGGAGTTGTGTTTCCAACCCAAATGCACCTGGTTTGAATCCACTAGCTGCTCCAAGGGAGAAAGATAAAAAATTTCCTCCCATACAATTTATAGGCTCTGAAAACTCAAGCAAATCAGCTATGAGTTGGTTCTGATTTGAAGGTATGTAACAACTTTTTACATATCAACAATGAATAAACTGAAAAGAAAATTAACAACATACCAAGGTATAAATTTAACCAAGTAAGTAAATGACTTGTACATTACGACAATAAATGGAACCATCACTTGTCTGTCAATTTGCTGTACTGCGGTACCTTGCATGTTGTTGTGCTGCTACAACCATTAGTGAGCTGAGGTGGACTGGTATAGACCATTTTGAATCAATGATGATATACTATGTAGGGAATGGCAAATTGAAGAGGAATGGCCTTGCTTTCATCATCATCAAAAAGAACATTTCAAGATCTATCCTCAGGTACAATGCCATGACTGATAAGATAAGATCCATATGGATACAAGGAAGACTTGTTAATACGTTGTTTTTTAAAATACTCACTAACCTGTAAGCCAAAAATGAAACATTTACTGTAAAAGATCAAAGATTACA